TATACAAAGAACATATAAGTTAACTATTGGAGCTAAACTCTGCCGATAGTTCTATACGCTCTCCCAAAACAATAGTATCAATATTTTGTGTCAATATAGTCTGTAAGCTCTTTACAAAAAATCTATATCATTCAATTCTGAGCAAGACGACAGGTTATGCCGATGATCAAATGATCTGCCTGACTGTACTCAGATGCAGATGCGATAAATTGATAGTCATATAAAAATTGATTTACGCGTGTTTCACTAAGATTCACATCTTACATTTTCACGTCAAGCCAGTTATTTTATTTTATATTATAAGAAAAAAAGTTTGTTATAAAAAAATTACTGTTTTCATATTTTTTTTTACTTGAATATATACTTAATACGAAAGTATATGAAAGTATAAACCTACTACGTATCGCTTTTAAATAAAATATTAAAAAGTAAAAAAAAAACGGTCTACATTTTAAAGTTAAAGTTTTTAAAGTAACACGTACAGTTATGGAAGAAAATAAAATTACGGAAAATATCCCACAGGTAAAAACAAGTTTTTCGAAACTTAATTATTAAAAAAATTTTTCCGTGTCCCTGACCAATTCCTAAATCATATGATACTTTTGGCCTTTATTCGCGTAAAAGAGTGTGATTGTTAATTTATTTGAAAAGCAAATTGAGTAGTAATTAGAGATGCAAATCAGGTTATCGACTTTTTTTATTATAATTAATTTACAAGCAATAGAACCATTTTACATCTCTAGTATCTCTAGTAATTTTTACGATTTTTCAATGATTTCGTTAAGTTAATAAATAAGTTAAAACTTCATACTTTCATTTATCGTCATACTTTTTATATTTCATTTATTGTTATACTTGATATTTCATTTATCGTCATATTTTGTATTTCATTTATCATCAATTATCAATATCATCATACTTTCATATTGTCGATTTATTATTATTTAAATAGTGGATAGATGTAATAACCTTTTTTATTTTTTATTTTTTTACCTTAATTTTAGATCTTTTCATGGAATCTCTTACCTGACGTTTTAAAATCGGTTCTCCCTCAAAATTACACATATCAAATACATAATTTCAACAATTTACCGCCACACAAGACATAGGAGAATTTTGAAGTTGCAAATTTTGAGCTGGACGCTTTTGTGAATGTTGATAGTGCTGAGGGCGCACGCGAGTGGTTTATGGAATTTCAATCTTGGTCAAAGTCAACCATTCCACAGACAAGAGGTTTTGAAATCAAGGGAAGTCGGGTAATTTTTCGTGAGCAGCGTCATTGTATTCACAGTGATGAGGTAAAGAAAAAGCAAGGAAAGCGTGTTGTAAAACGTCCACATTCATCTCGAGCCCGAAACATATGTTGCACAGCAACTATTCATTTACGGTTGGAGCGCAGGTGACTTATATTAAGTCATCCATTGGAAGTAAATATAAAATTTACACACAATCATGTCATCAACGCAGCGGAATCACTAAGTTTTTGACCAGTCAAGGAAGATGTCCATAATAAATTATTAGAATTATTCAAAGATGGCCACACACCTTCTTCAGCACTCTATACTCTTGAAGATGATCTTCATCTTAGTGCTGCTAATGAGCAAGAGTTGGTACAATTACTTGCGGACCGGGCAAATAACCCAGATTATGATTCAGTTTATTATATTTTTCGACAGCATCGTGATATTGCACTTGGCAGCCGTAATGGAAAGTTGATGCTAGAACGATTAGAATTGATGGTTGAAGATTATAATAGCTCAGGTTATAGTTTTTTTTTTAATTATTATAATATGTACTGTAAATATACTAATTAATTATATATTTTAATTATTAGGGCAGGATAAAGCCGCTTTGCAGAAATATAATGCAAATTCGGGAGATGCTTTTATTTTATGTGTAGTAACAAATTTGATGGCACGTGTGCACGAAAAGGTTCTTCAGGCGGGTGAAATCTGCTATATGGACGCATCGGCCTCATTTGATCATCTTAACACATCAATTACCCTTTTATATACCAGTTGCGCGGTTGGTGCCCTCCCTTTAGGATTATTTATTACCTCAAATGAGTTAGAGTGTACATTGGAAAAGGCAATAGACCTCTTGAAAACAATTCTTCCTCCGTATGCCTTTTTTGGACGTGGACCACAGGTAGGACCGATGGTTTTTCTTACAGATGATTCGAGTGCAGAACGTAACGCCTTAGAACTTTGTTGGCCGCGAGGTATTTTATTTTTTAATTTATTTATTATCTTGGTAATTATTGAATGTTTTATAATAGGTTCTTAATTAAACTACACGAGTGTAATTTTAGTTAAATGAATATTTTATTTCAATTATACTTGATTATTATAATGTCCATTTATTTTTTTTAATATGTTGCTTATTAATGTTGAAATATTACAAGTTTAATCAGTAAATTCAATTGATTCTTTGAATTTTTAATAAACTAAAAGTTAAATTTTAATTTCTGCGCACTTAAAATAATTATTATACTTTTAATGTTGCTTAAATTTAAACGCAGTTGTTATAATTCTAATTTATTTATTTAAATTAAATTATAGGCATCCATCTTTTGTGTACGTTTCACATTTTATAAGCGTTCTAGAGATGGTTACATGATACGAAACACCAAATCAAGAAGGAAGACCGACCACTAATAATGAATAAAATGAAGAAAATCCTTTATGCGTCATCTGGCGCTGAGATGAATAAACAGTACGAAGAATTTAAGCAAAGTTTTTACAAATATTCGCTTTTACAAAAGCACTTTGAGCTTCTATAGGAGCGCTGCCATTTTTGGGCATTGTCCTTTCGTACTGTCTTACCTATACGCAGAAATAATACTAATAATTATGTCGAACGAAGTTTCGGCATATTAAAGAATATTATTTTCGCCCGCACACAAGTGTACAACATCATACAAATGTTTCAGTTTGTTGTAGGAAGTATGGAGAGGTTTTATGAACGAAGACTTCTTGGAATTGCTCATAAACACCCTGGACATTTTCGCATTGCAAAATGGTTCTTATGCCCTGGTTGGGAGTCAGTGGATATGAATTCTATTGAAAGAACGAATGTAGAAAATGAATTTTTAGTGCGTAGCACGGGACAAGATAATCTCTTTTATGTTGTGAATAGTGGAATAGGTGTATGTACTTATTTAGTTGGAGCATCTGGGCACCCTGCAAGCACCAAGGTGCTGTTGCTATTAAATATCATATAGCAATGTTTAACTTTATACCTTCGCTAACACCTGAAGATCGTATAATTTATTCTTATATCGTGCTTGGTGAGTAATAATATGAAAACATATATATAGTATAGTTTAATGAGTAATTATTGTTAATTTTTAATGATTCAACATCAAAATTTATATACTGATTTAGAAGATAATTCTATTTAAGGTTTTCTGTAATTATATGTAGCATTAACGACTTAAAATTCTTATACGTACGAATAATTTTTTAGCGATATATTCAAAAATAATACAGCTTTTAGGCTCTGTTTGAAGATACGAATTTTTATTACAATTCCAATTAGTATATCTTTTAATGATTTATGCTATGCGATTTAATTATTTTTTTTTTCTTTTTTTTATATAATCGTATATAATTAGCAATTATATATGTAGTAACTTTGGTTTCGATACATAGTCCAAACTAGGATGTTTTTATTAATAAATATTATATACCTTCATACTTTTTAGATTATTTTTCTGAGGATCGTTCATTTTATGCGTCATTACGAACCAAACCTTTTCAGCAAAGTCAAGAGCTCTTATTAAGTAGCGCCCCTAATGAAAATTTCAATGAGGTTACTGAATATGAGAACTTTGATGAGTCTACTGAGTGGAGGTAATATTTCATTAGGAATTATTTATTACTTAAATATTTTTACGCTTTATAAAATATAGCATTATTTATCATCATTATTCTAGAGAGTTAAATAGAAAAGGCGAAGACATTAGCGATATTTCTACATTTTTAGAAGAAATTAAAACGGATTATGAAAATTCAGATCCCCAGTTACGCATAGCACTAGGCAAATTCGCAGATCGATATCGTCGAGCAAAATCAATGTCTACTCCTCGGCTTGTTTCATTTTTTTATGATCATAATCATAATTCAAATGCGGCAGTTCATGTTAGAAGTGGTTCTGCAATTCGTGTTCAAGTAGAATCGGTTAGAAGACGAAAACCAGCAAAGTCAGGTAGTGAAAAGCGAAAATCGTCTTCTGTCAATAAAGAAAATGACAATTTGGATCCTTATATTATCCCTTGTCAAAAGAAGAAGAAAGTTGGCAAAAAGATGCATAATTTAAGCAAGCATGTAATGGTTAACCAGCAAAATTGAGTTAACTTTTATTTGTTAGAGATAATATAGTTAAAGTGATTAAATAAGCATTTATTTTTTTCTGAAACATTTTTTTTGAAGAATTTGTCTTATATTCAATACAGATTTCCGTTTATTAGGCTTTTTTTTATTGAGCACAATAAATACCACAAATTAATTTGCAACTTAATAATTTATCGATATAATTTATATCGGTTTTATGTATAAACTATTTATCAGTGACAACTATTTACAGTCAACTATCTATATGTGAATCCGTACACGTATTCTAAACACAATATATTTTTTATTTAAGTTAAATTTTGTTCGTGCTGTGCACTTAGAGATAAAAATGGGTTACAGAAGCAGTATCTTTAATAAATACACTACTCTAAACTGTATAAATTACGTTTAATGTAAATCGATTTATTTTATCCAATCAGAGGGTGCGTCAAGTTAATTGACGATCTAATAAATATATATTCGGCATAACCTGTCACACATTCCAGACTTGCCAATTCTGAGTTCGTACGCTTTAACGTTTTTAATTGGTTGTATCTGAATCCAAATGACTGAAAATGTGACTTATTCATATGAACCTGAAAATGTCAATGTATGACAGAAATATAAAAGTTTCTTTAGATAAGGTCTGTGAATCTGGAAAAGAATTTGCTAGGGTCTTTCCTTATTACGAAGATTCTTACGTTTGCTACCCATACTACTCATATTATTCATAAACCACTTAATAAACGTTTATTAATTACTATTTTTATTTTCTATAATATATATAGCATCATGAAGAGAACGTACCTTCAACAGCCCAATCAACTAAGCAAAAACAAATTTGTATTTAATGATAGACTTGATTGAAAGGGACAGTTATTAATTATTTTTGGATTTTTATTGTTTTAATATGAGGATATGATTAATAATTAATTATTAGACAATTATATTAAGTTGGTATTTATTTCATATTGATCTTTGTAATTTTATTTCATAATCCAAGGTAGTATAATAATAATTTTTTTAATACTTAAATGGTTAGATTCGAGTAATTTTTACGATGTAAGAAATTTGTCATAGTTACGTACGTACCCCGTGAAAGTGTGCCAGGTTTGTGGCGCAGATGTCCTGAATTGGGATAGATTAGTGGAGCAATCAAAATTCAGCATATCTACCAAAATTTGGGTCGGAATAGGCCCGGGGCTAGGCTGGCATTAAGCAATAATACATGCAACTATACTATAGAAAGTTATCATCTGGGCAGCTTTACTGAGTATGTGGGCTACCATTTCATTAGTAAAATTCCAGGTGATTTTTGGGGAAAAAATTTATCAATTCCGGCCTATTCCGATCTAAATTTTGGTCAATCTGCCACTAACACTTATATATCATAAATAAATATTAGATTATGCAAAGTTGATTTCTGTTTTACTTTTTTTTTTTGGTCCTAATTTATATAATATCACCCAATGAAGACTTTAATTTCTCAAAATTATACGTTTTATAAAATCACTAGAAAAAAGCCTGCAATTTAAACTTTAGATTTTATAAAATAAGTAACAAAAGATTAACTTCGTACAGTCTTATAAATAGCAAAAATATATAAATTATAAATATTTGACCATTTTATTTTAATAAAGTTTTTTCTGTGCCAAAGGCACAGGTCATATACTACAGTACTAGTTTTTTTTTTATCTAACCACAAAATTTTTTCCGGCACGTGATTTTAGCCAATTAGATCGAAAGATCAGGTGTAACGTTAAATCAAAACAATCAAATACGCGAAAGCAAAACAATCGAATAAGCGAAAGATTTAGTGCAATAAATATCATCTTAGG